CTGCAAGAGGTAGGGTTTCCTCCTACTTTGGACTATTTCTATCCTATGGTGTCCATATCTAATGGATATAGGTATGGGATGACTTATGACTTGCCTATAATCACGAAAATTCGAAAAAGGGGTATAGAAATGACCTAGACCAATTTCTAGCTTGATTTGGTTATATGGAAGTGCTTGTGAAATTCCATGAAATTGGGTTTTATAAGGGCATGCTATATGTTTATAATGTGCCTTGTGATTTAAGTATGTTATTGACCTGGATTATGTGGTAGCATACTTGTGAATAAATTAGATATAAATGTTGGTATACGTTCATTGGTATGTTGACATTGTGATAGAGAATGGTAATTATATGCTTAGGATATAAATTGTCATGACATATGTCGAGATACGTGGTTAAATTGCTCATTAGCCTTCCTTGTATATTGGGCATGACATTGACATTGCAATGTTGTATTACATTGCATATTTCACGCAGAAAATACATCCATGGCCATGAGTATGGGTGTGTGTGTGTGTGCATGGTTGGATCAATTATCATACTTGTTGATTGGTGATGGGCTCGGGAAAAGTTGGATTGAAAATCTGACTGAGTTGCATGAAAGAAAAACTTATGTCGGGTATAGCAAGAAGGGCTAGACACTCCCTCAGGTAAAAGGTTCGACTATTTGGTTCATACACTCCCCTGAGGTAAAATTCTGGAAAAGTGTAATGGCGTATGGAGCCAGCGGTGTGATTCCAAAATCCGAACAAAGACACATGATTTTGTTATATAAATGATTTATTTGATGGAAAACATCCAGAAATGAATTGGTTTTATGAACATATGATTTTATTTCAAAATGGCCTTTGGATGTATTTCATCAAGGACAAATGTTTTACACACATGCATTGCATTGTGTTATGGGAGCCGGAGTAGGCTTGGGGTGAAAAATCATGAGTGAGTCTCACCTCATATCATGACATGGCATGGTAGAAATTTCATCTTGAATTGCATGTTCTTGTATGGAATGGATTTATGATTGCGGTTGTTGAATATAAACATTGCATATGCATTTAGGTAGGGAGTAGCCTCTGGAGAAAATACTCTACTGGGTGTAGCTCACCCTATACAGGAACACATTTCAGATGCAGGGTTCGTGCTGGCGGAGGACTCGCATTTAGGGCCTCAAGGGTGAAGACAGACCGACTTGTGACCTTTAACCTTGAATGTTGTAATTCTTTGATCAAAGCATGTTTTGGGCATGTAAATTTATGTAAATAAATTGTAATGGACTTGTGTAAATGAGGTTTTATGTAGAAAATTTCATTATATATGTTATGGATAAAAATGAGATGGTTTAGAATGGTTTTAAAATGAAAAATAGGTGAAATAGGTAAAGGATGGCAAAGTGTACCGATACTGTGTACCAGTACAGTTTGTCCAGAGGATAGAGAATACCGGTATTGTCTACCAGTACTGTATGTCCAGAAGGGAAAGTGTAACCAGTACTGCGTACCGGTATTGTCGGTCCAAAAGGCAAACCATACCGGTACTGTTTCCTAAAATTTAAAATTTTAAAACTAAAGTATTGTGTTCTCGGCCCTTTGATTCCTTTGGTTCCAAAGATGTAATTGGACAATAAAGGGGCATGAATTGTGGTACTTTGAGCCACAGTTGTATTAAAATGACAAAACATACATGGGTTACATGTGTGGGTTAAAATCTCAGTTAAAGGGATACTATTAGCGTGATGTTGGATTAAGCGGCATTCACGGGCATTTTCGCGGGTTGATGGGTCGTCAACAAGACCCTCGATTTTAGGGGCGTCTTACAAACTAACAAGATTTTTACACTTTTTCATTTTTACAAAATTACCTTCACACGATTCAACCTTCCTTCCCTGAGGAGATGACCTTAGAATACCCATTCCAAGTAAAACACGATACTCGAAAGTCTCTGTTCGCTTGGAGAGCACTTTTGCACAGACACACAATTTGTTCATCCACACACGTTTTTCCCATTTCTTGCATGATATCTGAGAGTGAGTGACACTCACCTACAAACAGAAGCCATATACACATTACCGAAATCATATTCGAAGATTAGGGTGAATGCGATCAAGCACCACTCTTCTCTCTCTCTTGCTTCCCTTCTCTCTCCCTTGAAATCTGACTTCAAGGGTTAGGAGAGCATCATGGGGTGTCAAATATGTCAAGGTATGGTTTGGATGACAAGAGGTGGGCCCCTAGAGTAGGTGGAGTCGTGTGAGCAGGTATCTTGCAAAACTAGCCTTTCAGTTGGTTTTTTCCATTAAGATTTTCTACCAGTAGCTTTTTGCATGGCTAAGGTAGAAGAATTCTAGTAGCATTTTCTATCAGTAGGTTTTGGATCTTCTACCGATAGGTTTTGACTAACTTCTACTAGTAGGTTTTGGTCGACTTTTACTGGTAGGTTTTGCTTGACTTCTACTGGTAGATTTTGGTTGACTTCTACCAGTTGGTTTTGCCATGCTTTGGGATTTTCTTGGTTCCTTGAAGTCCCGAGCCATCCATTAAGCATTTCCTTCTTCTCCATTGCCTTTGAGCATTTTATGGGAGGCTTTATACATGACTTTACTTGCTCTTAACCTACAATCACGCGAATCTCCATTAATTGTGAGTTTGAAAGTATTTATGCCAATTTTCATCACAAAAGAGATACATGGCGTGCAATATTCTATACTTATAATTCTTTCATGTGGCTAAGCTATTGTTGAATCTCTTTGAAACATTGCTCCCAAAATTTTTCTTTACCTTCTTGCTAGAGAGGAATAGGGGAGCTCATTTCTAGGGACTTCTTTATTTTGGCTTTGGACTTCCTCCTCCTCCTCCTCCTCATTCCTCTAAGCTCGACTACTACTACTGTCAATCAAATGGTTGTGTTCATTGTCTTCTGTCACCTCTTTCAGGGATTCTGATGGCAACTTTCCCTTTGAGGGGGATCCTCTTGGGCTGGTTGCTCTATGTGGGATTGTTGGGTATGGATAAGGTTCAGCAAATCCTCTTTTGTTGGAGGAGGCAGCTGTTGGCTTGACAGAGTGCCTTTAGTTCGTCATTCGGAGGGAGATCCACCATCAATGGATTGACTTCGAGATTAGGTAGAGGATTCACAAGAATTCCTTACTATTCTCCAACGGTGATTTCTAGTTGGTTTTGCAAACGTAAAGGGTTCATTTGATTTCTACTCATGTTACGCGTAGAAACCATCAATTACTAAAGTGATCAGTAAAATTTTAGTAGGAAACCATCATTCTCACAGACAGCGCCAACTGATGGCGTGTTCTATGCGGCTGAGCAAAGATGTATTTGGGGATCTTGTCGTGGATGTTTGAATGGGATTACTGGGATATCTAGTCATAGCTTCTGGGCTCTTGGGGGTTGAACAATCAGATAACAATGAATAAAGACCAATAGACAAAAGGTTTATAATGGTTTATTACTTCGAGAGCTCGGCTAATCTATTTTAATGAAGTCTCTTACTCTTGGTGAGTTATTCTATTAATCGAGGGGAAGATTATTACATTGAGTAAGTATATCAAAAATTTTGTCCATCTACATTGTGGGGGATTCAATCCCTTTTTACAGTCTTCAAATGTCTTGTGTGATTGTCCTACGTGATCCTCCACGTCTTCTTGCAACCGATGATCTCTTTGCATAATTAATGTCGATGGTGTTTAGGCGGTTGCAACTAATTTGCTAGAATGTTGAGCCATTACAAGTTACACTCCTCGGATGGGGTTTGGCCTTTTGGCAGGTGTCAGTTGTTGCTGTCATCGTTAATGAGGGAGTCATTGATGAAGCTACCGATCTACGCACATTGAAACGGTGGTCATGGGCTATGGAGTAAGGGCTCAACTTTCATGCTGATTCTACCAAGCTAAGTCTTAGCTAATTTCAGGTATCATCAAGTACTATGATAATATAGATCAAGTTTGGTTTGAATTTATGACTACTATTATTATTATTTATGGTCAATCTAAATCAAGGTTGATCAGATCTAATTGGTTTTTGAATTCTTTTGTACACCAATCTCCCATTTTTTTTCCCCCAAAAATATCAAATTGACCGTGTTGGGTCATTGGGTTTTTGTGTACAATGTAAGATTGTCGGATGGAAATTCTTGTAAAGCCAATCTTCTGGTCTGGATTTCTATTAAATTGATTCAAACTGATTTAGAAACTTTGGTTTTTTTTTTTTTCGATTGTTGGGGTGTTTGAATTTGTGGATTTGTTAAAATTATTGTCACTATTTATACTAGGATGCTACACTTTGTATTGGACCATATATATGGTGCATTTATGCTTCGAACAAAGATAAGCCCACCGCAAGAAAAAGAGAGGATAAAATGTTATGGTGGAAATTTAAAAAAAAAAAAAAAAAAAAAAAGAGCTTTGGATTATAAAATTTTTTTAAAAAATATTTAAACAAATATTTGAGTTTGTTTATTTGAAATAATTTTATAATAAATCAAACTTTTTACTAAAACTTATGCTCAAATTTCAAAATAGTTGAATATGCTCTTAAAAAAACCGAAAATACTATATATAACACAAATGAAACCTAAAAGTTAAAATTGAAAAGCATATTATCATTTTGATGAGTGTGAAATGATGAGTTCTACTAAAAAAAATTGATTGAATCTATTCATTTAAGAGATGATATGCATTTGAGTTGCATTCATTTGAATTTTGTAGTATTGCTATAAAAATGCATACCTTGGAGGCAGAGTTCTGCCACTTTATTCATTGAAAATGTTACATAATTCCAATAAAATCTAAAAATTTAAATTTAAATATATATTATTCCTAAGATGAGTATGGGTCGAGTGAGTTTCGCTGAAAAAATTGATGGGACTCACTCATAAAAAATTAATATGCATCTAAATTATAATTTTTTGGATTTCATTTTGGTTTTATAACATTGCTCCGATTGATTTAGCCCTTGTCCTGTTTCTTGTCCATCGCTCCTTTGGCCCTTACAGTTTTCAACTTGAAGGTTCACCCTTACTTGTAGCAACCCACTTGTATGTAAGACTAGGTGTTGGTCATTGTAATTACAGTTTGCAAATGGGGAATCGGCAGCTTCATGTAAAACAATAGTTATTGGATGTAAAGTAAAGCAATGCTACTGAATCTCTCTCACTTGCTGAAACACCCCACAATCAATCAATTCGATTGGCTCATTAGTCGCTTTAACTCTTGGTCTTTAGCCATAAGGAATGCTTCTTCACCCTACAAAGCCTTACACATTTACACCAGAATGCAACGCCAATCTGTCCCCTTCGATAGCTTCTCAATTCTTTTCGCTCTGAAATCATGTACCCATTTTCAGAACATACGCATTATACGTCATGTTCATGCCAATCTTCTCAAACTGGGTTTCAACACTCATCTTTACGTAGCCACGTCGCTGTTGCATGCGTACGTTGTTTCTTCGTTTGGAGATGCTTGTGACCTGTTTGATGAAATGCCTCAACGAAACACTGTAAGTTATAATACGATGATTACGGGCTTCTCCAGGTCAGAGGATGTTGAAAAAGCATGGTCAATCTTTGAACAAATGCCATTGAGAGATCTTGCATCTTGGTCTGCAATGATCGCAGGATACATGAATAATGGTCGTTGGGAGAAAGGTTTGGAGCTTTTTCGTGAAATGTTAATGAACGATGGAATGAAACCTGATCAAGTAACCTTGGGATCGATTTTAGCAGGCTGTGCGCGAATGGGTTCGGTTGGGTTGGCTCTTGGAAAATCGATACATGGGTTTTCAATGAAGAATGGCTGGGAAATGAATGCGGAACTTGGTACTGTACTACTTGACATGTATGCGAAATGTGGGGTCTTGAAGAAGGCTTGTTTAGTCTTTGATATGATGACAGAAAGGAATGTCATGTCTTGGACTGCATTGATTTGTGGGGCTGCGCAACATGGATGCGGCAAAGAAGCGATATCTGTATTTCAGAAGATGAAGGAAACGGGTGTGAGACCAAATGAACTAACATTTACAGGTATTCTCAGCGCTTGCGCACAAGAAGGTTTAGTTGAAGAGGGTCGGAGATTTTTCAAAATGAGTATAGAGTCTGGGTTGAAGCTGAGAATTCAACATTATGGTTGCATGGTTCATTTGTTTGGAAAGGCAGGGCTGGTGGGGGAAGCTTATGATGTCATTAAGACAATGCCACTTAAACCAAACGTCGCTATTTGGAGCTCCTTTCTGTTGGCTTGCAAGGTACACAGGCAGTTTGAAATGGCTGAGAGAGTGATTGATCAGGTTTTGAGGATTGTTAGGCCGGAGATTGATGGAGGGGTTTACATCCTAATTTGTGATTTGTATGCTTTGAGTGACAAGTGGGATGAGTCAGAAAGAGTGAGGAAATTAATGTTCAACCAAAATGTGAGGAAAGGAAGAGGATCTAGTTTCATCAATAGTTCAACAGCATAGACACATTCTTTTTACGTTTGTTTCCCACAACTTGTGAACAAGAGTCAGAGATCATCAGCAACCATCAGTTCATGGTTGAGCTACTAGCTTTGTTGCGATTTGCAATGATATAATTGGAATGAGTATACTTCAATGTAACAAAAAAGGATTTTTTTTTATTCGTTAAATTTTTTATTCAACTAAATATGAGAAGGTGGAAGATTAGAACAAGTTCAATTGCAAAAGAAAGAAAAAAATTGGGATAAATATTTATTATTTGTTTTATTGCTTGTGCTTGCTGTATTCTAGAAAAGAATACATTTAGTTACCGAATGATAAATTACTTCTCCAATTGCAAGGTAAATCTGGAGGACATGTGATTTTTGTTGGAATGAATTGTGTTTGAGCTATATTAAGCCAGATTTTGATGTATGGTGTCAGTGTGACTCTTTGAAGACTGGGATGGATCAGGCGGATACCCTGCCTTTTTTGTTGTTGTTGTTGTTGTTGTTATAACATAGAAACAAGTTATTCAGAACTGAGTTATTCTGAATTTTGTTTTAATAAATGTTGTTCATAAATTAGTTATTTCCAAACACAACTGTCCTTTTTGCAAATGTTGTCGGAAAACACTTTACAAAGTGACTCTTCTGTGCTTAAAATTGCACTAGTTATTATTGGCTTAAAATGAAAAATGACATAGCAACAATTAGGACTTGAAACTGTATCTTAGAATTATTTTTTATTTATGTTTGGGAGATCAATAACGAAAATTGTATACGTAAGAGATTAATAGAGAGTTACAGATAGGAAAAGGAAAATCTCGTTATAGTTTTTGTAGAATAGAGCTTCTAGAGACGTGATTTGGTGGGCTTTAAAAAATAAAATAAGTTCCTAAACTAGAAATATTACATGATTAAGCATATGTACAAAGGTGCAGTGGCGTGGACAAATACATGAGAAAGTAGTGAATCTTGGATCACTATACGTTGCATCAATATTCCGCCTGAATTCTCTATCTTTTTGTAATAAATTAATTATCTGGGCACATTTGGGATGAGCTTGTAAGATCCCAAAATTCTAAATAAAAATTCTAATTTTTATGATAATTTTGTGATTAATTTTGTATATGTGATGTGATGTGTAAGAGTTGATACTTTGTTTTATGTAGTGCATAGCAATAGCATAAAATCACGTGTGAGTTTATTATATATAATGTCTACCTAAGTTTAAATACTAATTGGAATGATTTTAGAGATTAGAATTGTGCTTGGAGTTCTTTGGAAAGTAATTTTGGCACTCAAAAATGTCCAAAAAGAAAAACTATTAAATGTGGTGCTGAGTTCTTGCTCGCTTTGTGTTCAAGCACGGTAAGGGACTTTGTTCGAGCGGCAAGGGGCTCACTTAATTAGTATACAAATTCTAACGCATATACATTCATTTTTAACTCATTATTATACAATAAATAAACCCAAATCCAAAATTTTCCCCGTAATTATTTAATTCTTTAACCTTATACAAATTTTAGAGATGAAAAGAGGAAATATGTAGAGAGAAAGTGGGGGAATGGCAATAGAACTCTGGATAAATTGTCGGATCGCACAGCTAGGGTTTTGAAATTTGCAAACATTGTAGGTATTCTTTTCTCAAACTCTACAATCGATGCTTTTAAGCAGTTTTTACTATTCATGCCTCAAAGTTCTAATTCGCATCTTGTGAAACATGACCTTTTTTATGAATTTTTTAATTGTACACTCCAGATGAAATATATTTTCATACGATAAATCTTGTATTAGAAATATATTTGATACAAATCTTGGCTGATGAATGTTTTCTTGAGTATCGTAATATATCACCTTGCGATTGAAAATTTGGGCAACTTGAACACACATTGCGGATTATTCAGGGGTGATGGATTGCGAACTTCCAAACCCCCTTGGGAGGACCGTTTAATGGCATCAAATGATTGTGATAACTGTGTGGCACTAAGAGTTCCCATTGGCAATGATTAGAAATTGTATTATTTTAAAGATTCAAATAAGTATTATTGCACTTCATGTAAGCATATTGCTGCATTTATTTCAGTACTTTATTTTTGAGGCAATGAAGAGTGGTTATTCATTGATATATTGGTGATTCAAGGTGAACATCAAGTGTTCTAGAATCACTAAAGATAGTTTTAGAGGTTTGAAGTTGAAGAAAAGAAGATCTGAGGTATTTCAGAGTTTAAACATATTTTGGAGAGAATTTGAAAATTAAGGAATTTGGAACTGGTTGAAATGGTGAAAAGAATATTAGGGTTAGAGAAGGCACAAGCAAGAGTGAAAAGAAAGAATAATTATTGTGTATAGGTTGTGTTGCCCTACACCTTATTGAACTATGAAATGACTAATTTAAAACTAAATCTAAACTTAATAATCAAAGGATTGAATTTACCAGATAAATGAACTTAAGATTGTAACTTCCTCTAATACTTTGTATAAATCTTTCTATTGTCTTTCTAGTTAATTGATCAAAACAAGTTGTTAACTAAGAACTCAAAATTATTTATCAAACTTCTTCCGATAGTTAAAGAAAAATATATCTCCCAATTAAATTATTATATTCCTATGCAAAATAATTTGGAATAGATTCATTAAGTTCAAAGTCTTATAAAAGTTACACACAACATATTGGTATATTCTTATCCTATACACAACCCAGCTATTCAATCCTAAGAAGAATTAACTAGACACATGTCATCATATTTAGATCTAAACTGAGAATTCAACTCTTAATTTCATGTAAGAAATCAAATTAATTGCTGGCCACACAATCATATATTAAACACAAAATATGACAAATAACTTATATATGATCAATAAAATCTAGAAATGAGAGTAGATCAATTTAATTAAACATCAAGTTCCGTTGCAATCTTAATAAAAATTTAGTTCATAACGTAATTGAAAAACACCATTATCAAATTAATCAACATCTTAGAAAATAAAAAACTAAAAGTAAGAGAAAAAAATGAAAACTTAGTTACATTCTTTAATCTCTCTCTAGCCTTCAAGTCCAATATTCTTTGCGTTGCTTTCTTCGATTCTTGCCTTCAATTTTCTATCAATCCTTGGTTAACCCTCTATTAGCAGCCCCTCATATCAGTATATTTTCATCCCAGCTCAAACCCTAACATATATATGGCATTAGAGTTCAATTTCTACTCAAAAAGCAAGTCAGAATTCGCGTCCCAAGATAAAACACGCGCTGCAGCCCCACAAATCAGCGCAGCTGCGGTGACTATTTGCTCTTCTAGAGCTGCAGCGCTGATCTCTATCTATGCCTACAACTGCCCTTGTTGCTTAGTCCTCAATTAATCCAAAACTTATGCTACCAAATGACCTTGTTTCCTTCCAAATCTTGCTCGCTACAAAACAAAATTAAAACACACAAAATGAATAAAAAGGAACATAAAATGCGTGAAAACTTGCAATTTCATCAGGTCAAGAATACTCAATTCGTAGGTATAAAACTCAATCATCACACAAGTCTTTCAAAATCTTTGCACATGATGAGATTTGCTTTATGACATCGAGGAGTGGGATGTTGATCTTCACCTGCTTAAAAATTTCAATGATGTCAAAATAATTAGCCACCTTAACCGGTGGCTTCAAATGTTGGGGAAAAGGGGTCAGAATAGGATTTGCATGCACATTCAAATCAACAATTTTTCCTTTCTCACTTGTCTCACCTCCCTTGTAATTGCCCTTAATCTCTTTCTCTTTTTCCAGTATGGCTTTTGGTGGGACTTTGGCAAAATGGTCTTATATATTTGTTTGCCACTACTAAGGGTGGTGACCACCTTGAGTTGCTCACAACTCTCTTTGGTGGACTCGAATGACTCTGTCACGTGTTGACCCCTAAGGTTCTCTTGAGGTTGAGTGAAAATTTTTCTTTCTCTTGTTGTGAAGAACCTATGGCATTAGTCAATTTTGTTATTTGAGTCTGAATGTCATTAAAAGCAGCGGTGGTTTGATTGTTGATGGTGGTTTGTCTTTGGATAAATTGATGCACTACATCCTCCAAATTTCTTTTATGTGGCGGTTGGTAGGTGGGTGGGTTGGATGATCATTGCTGACCAAAACTTTGTGGCGGCGGGTTTTGTGAAAACCCATGTGGATTGGATTGGGGATATTGGGAGCTAGACGAAGGACCTTGACCATGGTATTGATTTTGCTTGGGAGGCATGGGAGGTGAATATTAACTAGACCCATGAGGAATGAGATTCTCATTGTTCCAATTGAAGTTCGGGTGATAACTCCAACCCAGATTATATGTATTAGAGTGTGTGGAGAATGATTGCCTACTTTGATTGAAGGCATTGACTTACACATGGTACACCTCTTTAAGTGCCAGAATGTTGGGGCAATCTGATATGGAATGCTCAACACTCTCACAAACAGAGCAAAACTCCTCGGTCTTGGTCATGTTGGACACCTCATGTCTCCTATTGACCTCTAGACTCTCCACTTTCTAAGACAATTTGGTGATTTTAAAAAGTAAGTCTACCGATCCCGTAAATCATACATCCCTCCCCCGCTTGGTTGATTACTACTCGGAGAACACTTTGGTACATCAGCTAGATTCGTGATATCCCAAGATTGTACATTTTGTGCCAATGTATTGAAGTACTCTAGGGCCACACCAGGATCCTTGTTTACAAACTCCCTATTATATATCATGTCTATGAACTATCGATGGCCCGGTGTAATCCCTTTGTAGAAGAAACTCACCAATTGTCATGGTTAAAAATCATAATGTGGAATGGATTGTAGCAATTCCTTGTAGCGATCCCAACATTGATAAAAATGATCATTGGACTTTTCCAAAAAATTTTGAATTTGCATTTTTAAGAGTCGTGGTCTTGGGCACCGAAAACAATTTGTTCAAAAACTTGGAAAGCATTTGTGCCCAAGAGCTTATTGATCGAGGCTTCAAGGAATTCAACCACGTTTTGGCCTTGTCTTTTAGGTAAAAGGGGAACAATTTCAGGCGAGCTATGTCTTCCATGGCATGATTAGTGAGGAAGGTTGCAACTATTTCCTCAAATTCCTTAATGTGCAAATAAGGATTTTCTCTTTCAATTCCATCGAATTGAGGAAGTAGTTGTAACATTCCCTGTTTAACTAGGAAGACATGAGCTTGGACCGGTAAAAGAATGCATGAGGGAGTGGTGCTATGAGTGGGTTGGAGATAATCCCGCATTGACCTCACTAGA